TGACTGCATACAACTATAAGAAAAAGTCTCAACTAATACATCCTCTACCTTGAAGTATTGGTTGGGATCACCAAAAACAGGCTTCACACTACATGTACCATTATGGGATTCAAACCCAAGTGTTGGGCCTGAGAAGCTATAACCAGTGTGCTACCATGCATATGGCTTCATGACAACATTATTCAGATGAAGGTGTACTTGGTCCATTAATACTCTGAAGGTTGCTGTTCTACCACAATTTGCCTCTGAACCATGGCACCATGAGATCTGAACCATGGCAACTGTTCACTGTCATCACAGAATGTAATCATGTTAGTGCCGTCCATTTCTGCTGTGATATGGATTGCTTGCTAAGGTCTCCCGACAATTCGGATTCACAGGCTATGCTGTTCTCCTGATAACAGAACCATCATGTGTGTAATCACTTTAGGAGGAGATTGGAATTTGATGATTTAATCCTTGGAAGTAATACGACTTTCAAGATGACAGTTTGTGTCCTGAGATGGGTCAATATGACCCTAACCTCAAGTGTGAACAATCTAAGAGCTTGACTCTGCTTGTGTGATTGAGACATTTCAGAGACAAATGGCTTTCTTTATGGGGGCTGAACATATCTTAGATTAAGAATTTGAATGCTGAAATAGGATATTGAATTCGTAGCAGACACTTCATGCCAAATTTTTCCATAAAGGGAGGAGGACTTTATCAGGATAGGATAACACATTAGAATAATCTGGACAGTCAGGACAATTCTGATCACTTTCCCGCTGGACGCTTCATAAGTGAGGTGAAATTGGGTTTAACGTCGCATTCCACACCAGAATACAGTGGCCACAACTTTCTTCACTGATCTTGAAGACTTGAATTTCTTTGGTGCCGGAGAAGTGGAATGGTGCCTACGTTTTGACTTGGGATCAGAGTTGTAGACCCATGTTTCATCACCCACTTAAAGCCCCATCTGCGGTAGGAACTACCGCACTCTAGTGGGCGGAGCTTATACGAGTGATCTGACAGGTCAATATGACGTCATGATAACACACACATTTCATTGGTTATTGCGTAAACGGGTGACGTCATGTAAACACCCACCCACGTGGGCCGTTTGACAACAAGGACGTAAGTTTTAATGGTAATATAAATATCTACCAAACGATTCCAAGGCTTTTCAACAAACGCGTAGGTCTTTGGTTTCAAAACCTACCTGCCATGTCGTCTTCACATCTTCATAAAATGATACCGCGGAATGTCCACGATATATCCAACGCAGTCCAATACAGAAATTATAGACGTTCTTGTTCTGAGCTATTCTAGATCTCCCGACGACAACGAATTAATACGTTTGTCGTGATGAATATGAACAGTGTAATTGAACACAAAAAAAACATTATATGTGTCACGGCAACAATCGTTATCCTGTGGTGTACGGTATATCTGCAGTTTATAAATAGCATTTCTCACATATACACGGTAATCGGTGATTTCAACAGTGTTTATCTTCGTTCTGTTCGTCTTGCCTTCATCTGGAATCTGGATGACAACGATCGTGTAAAAAACCCTGGTAATGGTCAAAAATATTTTCACGTGATCAAAGTAGTTTTTTGTCGTTTCCGTGACATTTTTTCATTGCCCAGTAGCAATGTATTTTGGCAAAGTCACACTTGTCCGATGAAGCTCTTCGTGCCGAAGTAACTCGATCCGTGAAACTTGGCGGGTCCCAGTGACCCAGATCCCTCTTGATTGGCATGCCAAGTGTCATTTGCATAAGGCCATCCATATTTTTTGTATGTGTTTCTCCCCTCAAGCCTAAACTAACCAGAGAGCGGCCGGACGAGATAAAATATATATTACTTATCAAAAAATGTCTTTCAATAATTGTGTAAGTTATTTTATGACATTTAAAAAAAAAGTTTAAACACTTGGTACTAGAATCTAGTCTATGAATTTGTTTATTATGTAGATCGATTCGCTTTGCTTCGGAAGCGAATTTTTAATAAACAACGGAACAAAGATAAAGTTGATCTGGTTCTATTATAAAGTTGAGCTAGTAGTATTTCTTTTAATAGATCGGTGCGCAATTTTCCACAGCGGCAGCAAAATTAAGATACGAAAACATTATATTATTTTACGTCGCAATGGAAATAAGAATATTAAAATACGGACAGCCTCACAGACTTCGAAACGATGTTCAAATAAATATTTGTTCACATTAATTCTGTCATGTGCGAGAAAATGGATTCCAACATTATTTTCATCAAGCTTATTCAGGTCGCTGGCTGCACAGATCACCCTCTCTTGTAAACTACTTCGGCATGAACACATGTTTTGTCGCGAAGCTCAAAGCAACAATGTTTCTCTCAGATACATTTTTTTCTCCATCAATGACGAGCATCTGTCATAATGTGCCTCAACAACCTTCCTGGTCAGTTGAATTCAACAATGTTATACACACGGCCTCATTCACGGCTTCATCACAAGATTCCTTCCAAATACCCGCCACGTGATCAGGGTTACGACCTTGGGATGAATTAATAAATTAATTTGCACTTTTAGAAAAAAAAATTTTTCGTGAATATTATTATTCAAAAATATCCTTTACATGGTACTTTGGGATTGCACTGCGGATTTCTTTTATTACTTTCTAAAACTTTTTGTTTTCCCCTTTCTGACCTCGCGATCTCCTAGCAACCACGCCCCATGAGTGCATCGAGTTGCTGCTTACAACTGACAAGAACTTTGCAATTTCGCTTGTCTTCAATATGAGCAACAAAACATTTTCATGTAAATCCTAATTTGACGAAGAGGTTTTCGAGATAATCAGGAAGCCTTTGGTCATTTCGATTGTGACATTGGTGACTTTATCGTGGAGAAAGTTCCAATTCAAGATGACTTCATTCCGATTCACAACTCGAATCGACAAGATGGCGCCTCTCTTCCCGCCCTTGAAAGTGCAACAGAAACTTTGACAAATTCAGTGCCGATTCTTGGGAGTAGGGAATCAGTGTCACAGCGAGATTTCATTGTGGAACCAGATGAAGCCGAATATGTATGTTCACACTTCTTTTGTCAACCATGCGTGACACGGCACAGACAATCGCAGTTAGGGAATGGTGCGGCCACCATGTTGCAGAAATTCGTCGATTCGAACACAGTGTTTCTGGACTGAGTTAAATAAACGAAGTGTTTGGAGAGATCGTAGATACTTGGACTTGAAGAAACGGAATTATACGTTGCAGCAAATGAAGGATTGGTGTGGACAAAACGGGAAAGGGATCCCAGATTGTACTTTAAAACTTGTGCGCGAAGTGTATCCAAATACCCCGAACAAAAAATACATGGGACAAGTGTGGATCTAATGATCAAACTCAGTTTTGTGTGTGAAAATTCTGTGAAAGATAAAGGAAATTCATAATTAAAGTTGTCTTGGAATATGTGTATTGGAGTTTTCGTTTATCGTAAGTACAATATTATCCGGATACGCCTTCTGTAGGCCAAAACATCAAGTATATTCAGTTACTTATTTACCAGTTGCTTATGTGCATTGTTATGTTGATACACGTAATATATTCATCTATTGTAGTCAAGCTGAGAAATATTGGCGCAACTTCTGGTGCTTCAAATTAGGCCCCTTCCTAAACACTAGTTGAAAAATCTCTGTAATAATTTACGTTTGATGAATATAAACTGATTATTGTGTGGCACAAATCTAACTGTTGAATGCAAATGACCAAAACTAAACAAATATCTGTAATTTTCGAATGGAACTGAAAGAATCGCGTCGTCAATTTCGTATTTAAGTATCGTTACTGTTACATTAACTGAAACTGATGTTCTGCTGCTGTTCTGCCTTAAAAATATACAACACAATACACTTTGACCACAAATGCATTAAATGTGTCACATGTACACATGACCATGTGCTTTGCTATTTATAGCGCAAACGTAAATAAGCTCCGCCCACTGTGATCGATGCAGACGCCAAACACGATCGATTCGATTTTTTAGGATAAAACTACAGAAAATTTATTGACTTATATCTTGATATGGAGCCATTTGTTGTATCCATGGTTTGTCATTCAAGTTGATACGAAGTTTGACGGTCAATGGTGATCTTGTTCCAGTATGGTTTTCAAAAAACGTCTCCCGACACTCGGTTGTGTTTACATTGTCAGTCATTGTTCGAAACTGAAACACCGCCACCTTGCGGGCTATTTATAGTCAGGGTGGGGCTTTAAGTAATTTCTTTTTGAATTTGACGAAATCCTCTTCAATTAGCTCTAAATTTCCCCTGGCAATGACAGTAGTTTTTTCCTTAAGAACAGAATTTAGGAACTTTGGCACCCCACAAGCAGACATCATATTCATCTGTAAATGTTCATGAATAATAGTTTCAATGGATCCATAGCTAAGACCTGTTTCTTCCTCAAGTTCAGCAATGGTAATATGTCTAGCTAACAGTATAAGTTTTCCTATCTCCTTGATTGAATCTGCATTGATGGAAGTTGAGGGACATCCAGACCTAGCGTCATCATCAAGGCTTGTTCTCCCAGGCTTAAACATAGCTGTCCAACATTTAACATCAGAATAGCTAGGGTACTTATCCCCATACACTTGTGACATGCGGTCATGAAATGCTTAGGGAGTACTTTACTCTAAAGTAAAAAAACTTGATCACTGCTCGGTACTCGTTCTGTTTCATTTCTGTGTCCATTTGGACTCCTATCATGTTCAACTTGCTGTCACTTATACACAAACGGCCTCAACAGACCAAATACACTTGCAATGAACTACTCAAACAATGTACTACATTGACTAGTTCACTTTGTTATGGCCCATAGTTGAAAGATAGTCAGGCTTTTTTGGCCAGCCCTCGTATCCATCTGATCCCCCATTAGTCAGTTCTTCCAACAAGCATGGTATACATAAGAAAGCTCACAACACTTACAACAGGCAAAAAGAAGCAGGGTCAAAGACAAGTGTAGAACATGAACATGATGACTTACTTTGTCGGTAAAGTTTACAACAGATGCCGACACATCGTTGAAAATCTTGCCCTCTGCCACCTGATTGGGTGAAAACAGACACACAAACATCAACATGCAACAAAAGAAATCAAAAGACTACAAACAAAATAAAACAACATGAAAGTTTGATCATCAGCGAAAGTAAAGAAAAAATCTTAGACTTCAGAGTGATAAAATGTATTTCACTTGAAAATAACTTGAGACATGAAAACATGTTTCAAGAACAAACTGGATAACATATGGTCATTATTTGAATTAGATGTACAATTGATGATCAAACTTTTTGAAAAATAATGATCTACATTTCAGTGCTTCAGATTGCCTTGAATACCTATTCATCAATGTCCCAGTATCATTGAAATGATGGAAAGAAATATATGTCCAAATTGCTAAGAATGGAGGGTGATTTCTTGTTTGACGGGTCACTCACCCACACCTTCCTGGCAATCTGAAGCACTGTATTTTGATGAAGCTTGAGGAGTATTAAAAAACAAGGTAGGACACTAGCTAAGGTAGTGGTCAAAAGAACATAAAAAACCCATTCATACCGCACCACATTGTATTATTTCTTATAGTTTAATCTATATAAGGGATATGTATGTATGTACATTACACAATTCTGTTGTCTAAAAAGCTGTAAGAAATAGAGTTTAAAACATCCAAATAAAACTCATAAATCATAAACAATAACCTGCAGATTTCAACTCCAGAATCTTCAATAAAAGGATGGGTCACGTGATATAGCTGGGGCCCAACTTTAATATCAACACCAACATGTGTATGAATCCATGCTTTCAGACAGATTCACAGGAAGGGCTTGAGTCGATGAATGCAGCAGAATTGACAACAAGTACCTGAGTCCATGGCTGCAGCCAGATTCAGTATAAGGACCTGGGTAAGGATTCTGCAGCAATATGTGGAAAACTGTATCCACGGGTGAACAGTGAACACCAAGCCCATCTGACTAATTGTCCTGTTAGCACCTTTGAGTGTGACAGTCGCAGCATCTAACTATTGATTATTGTCAATGCCTGACTGGACAACTAATTCACACTCAGCATGCCACAAGTGTTCATCATCATTAGAAACAGCTTCTGCTGAGATAGATTTTCCTTGTGAGTGGGTAATCGTGACTGCCTGGTTGTAAAAGGAATCATGTAAATCACTCCACAGATACAACACTGAAATCTTGAAGAAGGCCATGAATACAACAAAACTGAGGGGATGGGTCGACAAAAAGTGCACGGAGGGTCCAATAAGATTCTGCAGATGGTCACAATATGACACGTCTTGGTGGTCTGGTTAGAGCTGGCAAATCGATGGTTGTAGGAGTGAACCTGATCATTCGGTCAGGAAGACAAACTAAACAGTACCATCCATACTCACTGAGTACCATTTGTGCTCAATAATCTCAAAGAACATCCGCAAGCAAAACAGCACAAACCGGTGGTCAATATGGTGAGTATTGTCCACACATTTGAGGAACTAGGCCACACGGTCGACCAGGTCACTTTCCTGGTGATCACTCAAGAAAGTACTATTCATACTGAGCAGACATTTTGACCTCCAACTCTTACTCAGCCATGTTCTGAATGGAGAACAGGTATTAAAGAAACTAGAGAAACAAAGGGAGAAAACTGACCCAAATAGTGACATGAGTAAATTGCAGATGCTACTCCATTTCATCACAGATCTTATATTGAAAAAACAAAATGAAAAGTTTCACTTTGCAGTCTATTGCATGATTTAGAGATTCCAATCTGCTAACTGTGGTAGTTGTGCAATATAAATTATTGACATGTCCAATACACAACTGACAGCTGAAACATCAACTAGGTGCAATGTAATATATAGAAATCCCGGGCAAGCAGCAACATTGAAGCAAAGTTCTTGCAAGGATGACTACCAAAGTCCCAGATTTGACAGCTGCTTTCTTGGCTGGTACCGAAATAGTCCAGCAAGTGACAAAAAGGGCTAGGAAGATAACATACAGTGTCTGTCACAAAATATCCCTTGATCATCTTTTGGCGGACACCCTAACCCCATGGAGACCTATATCTATCATTGCTCTAGCGCTTACATCCTGAAGGGGAGAAAATCAATACCTTTCTGCTCGCATCATTTCAAGGGCATCAAAGAGGTGGGCTGCTCTGGGCTAGCTTATATCTCATGCCACAGAACCTAGGTACCATATGGAATGAAGAACCAACATCAAACAGACACTGTTTGCTGTAAACATATTTCTGATGTCATATGGGCATGGTTCTCACATCATTATCTTGAAACTCCTGAAAAGTAAGATCTGAGATGAAATGTTTGCAAGGCAAGACATTCCTTTTGCGTGTTAAGCTGTCAATTTGCTGATAAATGGCATAATCAGTAAGTAATACATCTCTTTCTGCTTGCCTGGCTAGTCGGTTATCATCAAGCTATAGCATCATTGCAGCATACAGTCAGGAAAAAACATAAAAGAATTTGGTGCAATGGGAAAGCAGATGAGTATGTTTCTATCATGCCCACTACAAACAGTCCAGCCATTCTACACACAACAGCCATGCAACATCAAACGACAACATCAGGTATAACATGCTCTACATTGTCACAATGACAGGTTCTGAATGGAAACCTGAGGAGCTGCAACATGATTACAGATCATTCTCCATGTGTCATCTCTTTGCAGTACATAACTTACTGTCAATTCCAATGCTTAAAACAAAGAAAGCAAGTCACTTTCCTGCCATTACTATGTTACATTACAGATTGAGAATTATATTTTGAATCATGAAGTAAGATATGTTTTTTAGACAAACTGGCAACCAATTCATTGCAAAAGATTTTGAAGACATTCTAATTTATGTATGACCACATTATCTACAAGAATGGATGACAATAATCAGCTACTCGCACTGCTCTACAGCCTGAAAGAAAATGCTCAGTTGTCAAAGTATCCACAGTGCTAGTATTAACTCTATATGATAAGACATTGTGTTCCAATGAGATATAATGCTGGTACATACACCTTGAAAAAGTTCAGCACCACGACATCTTTATTTGCAAACTTGAAACCACAAATATGTCATATGATAAATGACTTCAATTTCTGTATGTCAAAATGAGTATGTGTCTTGTCTGAGAGTTAATACAGGAAAAGATCTAAAAGAAAATTCAATACAAATGGAAATATTTAGAAAGTGGTGCTTACTATATAATTCAACATAAAGTCAACAGCCTCATCACCAAATGATTTTGAGCACCAGAGTTTCATGCATACTGCAATACAGAGAGACAGGAGATGACAGAGGAGATGGAACTTTGGACTGTTTAGATCCAGAATGAAGGCACTACCTTTTCCTTGGTGGGTTTGATGACAGATTCATTAACACTCTGGCCAAGTTCCTTGGTCTTCTTGGCAGTTGTCGTTGCTAGTTTGGCAGCCTGGAAGAAAACAAAACTCATGTCATGCATGTCTATGTCTGTAGGTAATTGTGTTTATCAACTCTTTTTTCAATTTTTCTGAAAGTAAGATGTACAAATATAAGAAAGGTCCCATTGGTGTGACAAATGTTATCAATTTTCAAAAATTTACAGGCATATTGCTTTCATTTCTCTCTTCTAACATCTCGTTTGTCAGGTCCTTTTTTCTTTCTATAGCACGGGTAGTCATTCTAAACATATTTAATGGCCAACTGGGTCACCTGCATTTCTTATTTCAATACAGGGTTTGCCATAGTCACTGTTATAGACCAGTGAAAACTTCAAAGTAAAACCAAATACTTTTCTACTCAAACGTTACATGGAATACATAGGATTTATAAAATTTAATATGGCCTTAACTCCAAGACTTAATCTTAAATTTACACCCTCTTTACTCTGTATTAAGACAGTCATTTTTTAACTCTCAAACAAGAAAGATAAATGTTTGGAGCAGAGGGTGATTTTCGCAAACACATGTTGTCATAGCTATTTGATAGTGATTCATACACACATGCTCATGATAAAGTTGAAGATGATAAAAGATATGATGATATCTGACACAAACAAACTGGATTGTTTATAATTGTAATCAGAGATAACTTCAGTAATGCCTACAGAGAATGAAGAATATTCACTATTGAATAAAAGCACCTGCCACAAAGCGGTCAGCGCTGCCCACACAACTAATTGATAAACACCTCAGCACTGACCAAACTTGACATTTTGGCCAGTCTCCAGCATATGTCACCCAAGTCTTAATAATGTCTCTCCATAATGGTGACATGCAAAGACATCACAAAAGAACTCCTTTTGACATGTTGACGTAAACAATACTGAGACACTTGGAAATTGTAACAATCTGGTTTCTTTCCAGCCATGTTTTTGCCATCTGTAGTGGTTTGCATAAGCTCCAGATAACGTACAGTGGCCACAATTCAATAGGCATCAATTTGTAAAGGCCATTTAAGTTGGGGCCACTTTGTTATTGTCTCTTGGGATAACTTATTAATGTCACATTTGTCTGTTGTTTCTGTTGTTGTCAGCACTATTCTAGCCCTAATACATTTGTAGTAACTGAATCTGGGCCGGGAAAACAAGAATGAGCAATGTCTAAAGCTGTTGGGGTATGTTTGTTAGTTAGTTTGTTTGTTTGTTGTTTAACACTGCACACAGCAATATTCCAGATATATGACGGTGGCCTGTAAATAATCGAGTCTGGACCAGACAGTCTAGTGATTGACATCATGAGCATCGATCCATGCAATTGGGATATGGTGACATATATCAACCAAGTCAGCAAGCCTTACCAACCGAACCCGTTAGTCGCCTCTTACTACAAGCATGGATTGCTGAAGCCCTATTCTCTACCTGGATCTCCACAGGTCCTGTTGGGGTATGATGACATCACCACTGGGACAGTGTTGTAGGCCATATACCTACATACTACCTTAACTCAGTTAAATCATGAAAACAATTTGCAATCTCAAATAAGGAGGATACAAAAATGGTCATTTCTCTAAAATCAATATTAAATGGTAACCAATGAAAAATTGCAGGAATTTTTTTTTTTCTTGTGTTTTAAAAAAAATCCCCCTCATAATGCTTGGACAAATATTTCTTCACATTTCTTTACTAAAGCATCTATGAAATGTGAAATTTGGAAGTGTAGTAAGAAAATAGGAACTAACTGGAATCAAAGCAAGAATTACTTTTGAGAGAATACAATAACATCATATCAGTAAAGTGATCCTAATGGAATACAACCCACTCACTATACACTGAGACATACATCAATATTTATGTAGGATGATGAATTATGGCTACACTGACAACCTGATGTTTATAGATCAGTCTAATAATGAACTGGTAAACAGGAGGAGTTTTATGTGTTAGTCGGCCGCATCTCAATATATCAGGACAACCTGCTCTGAGCAGACCAAACAGCCATCACTGATCCAGGTGCTGTAGGAGGTAGCAGGATTCTTTAACTCAGTCTGTCACAGCCAAGGTTCCTGGCTGGTCACACCTTCTCACATCAGTAGTAGAAATAAACAAGTATAGGCTCCACAGTCCGGTGCCCATTTCCAGTCGTGGTCTAGACCTTGTAATTAGTGACTTCTTTCAAACTGAGACATTATCTTGGTGTAATTAGGATAACCATTGCCTGCTTGAATGATACATCATAAATATTGTGTTTACAGACAAATTGCTTTGCAATGACTTTGAATAACCTTTTCTGGGCCTGCCATTTGGCTCAAACCCAAATTTGCCCTTTATGAGGGTGAGCTCTTTCAGTCTTACAACCATAGTATTTTAATCTAGGGACTCCCTAACTCTTTAATGTTCAATTATGAGTGTTATTACAAGGACCCACTGACTCTCATCCTTGGTATCCAACACTGTAAGTATTACGCAGCAGGAAACTGTACATCATCTGTTTCCATGACAGTTGCATTCTAAGCTAACCATGAAGCCTTGGGTCCTGGTCTTGGCACTACTGTTACGATAAATCTGTGGTAAAGGACGAGAGTTACAACAGCAGCTAGCCTTGGCTCTATCATGATGTAGCCCTTACAATTCTGCCAATGTTTCCCCTGGGATATAGACCCTATGTACGATTCTAATAAATCTTTTCTTCTGTAGTTGTTGGATTTTGTATATATACTGAGCAACAAAATAAGGGAAGATTATGCAATATAGCTGAAGGCGGCTTTTTGAGTTCAATAACTTAATACGGTTCACAGCAATTAAGACTGAAAGTCACGGGTCATGAGCTAGGTGTCACAAGATCTAAATATTGTAGCAAATACATCAAAGAGCCCAGTGACACCTCTCGGTCAGTGTCATCATGTTTTACAGTCAACAATTTTCCAGCTGCATCTGTGGCCTGTACAAGTGCTTGACAGCATGAGCAACAATCCATGCATATTGACATGATCACATACAATCAGCCAGGTCACACACCATAAGAACCCGGGCGCCATTAGTGGCAGGGCGATACACCAATGTATCGGTGGGTTGCCATTATTTACTTCTTGATACAAGCATCAATTACAGTTGCACACTAAGTAAAATATATTGATTTTTACCTTCAGCATTTGCTTTAATAACTGTTACACTAAACACTATTTAGAAGAGCAAACGTAACTGTTTTTATCCATTGTGCCATACTTGACACTGCCAACTGTAAATCATCAGTGTGCCAGGTATTTGGCCATACTGTCTGTGAAATAAAATGGCTTTGAGAGACAACAGATAAGAGCTCATGCAAGTATCATGATACATATCGGATTGTTAGCAAGCTATCATGATGTGTATCAGATCGCACAGTTGGTGTATTGTCTGAGCCCTAGTCATCATCCTGTTATGAAGCATGCAAAATACCCCCCCCACACACACACACACACACACAAAATATGAAACACTGTGTGAATTATCATATATGGTATAGCTACAGACTGCGACTTTATCCACTACGCCGAAACAAGAGGCCAGTAAAATTCTGTTTGGTGTATTCAAGCTCAGCTAATAATAGTCGATATAATAACACTAAAATCTACTGAAAATTTTATTGGAACGTTGTTTGGGCTACGAGAATCGAAACTCTTTGGCATAGACTGTAGCTGCATAGTAAAAATACCTCCAGATTTCTTCGAGGCACTTTAACATTTTAAATGAAAGGTTTCCGTAATATCTGCGCAGTTATACAATGAGAAATCAATAGTAGCAGTCACCAGCAACCCCGATGAGTCACATGAATACCAGACTCAGTTACTGTCAAACAAACATGTATACAACTATCACATGGCAGAATCTATCAACATAAACTGTAAGCCATGGGAATCACATAGATCTCACTACGAACAATCAAATCCTTGCATATTGTTTCACAGAATAGTAACCGTACATTGTGGATATCCGAACAAGGGATCCGGAAAATTTCTTTTGGCCAACAGGAAATTTGTGTTTTGGTCACCACTTATTTGACAGTTTCTGGTGGACGTTCATGTATGAATAAAATAATAACAGAATTACATCAAAGGTCACATTCATAACATATACCATATTTTCTTGAGGACAGTGTGCAAAGTTTTTTTCACCATAAAACACACCGTAATGAGTTTTGACGTGTTTTCACCAACATAATCCAACTATGACATATCATACCGTGTCAGTGCGTAACACCAGAAATACCATGTCAACAAATCTGTACTGAATTACACAATTTAATCCTGTTATTACACTAGCTGGTTATAAAAAGTGTTCAGTTTATATATGGACTTATGTTTATCATCTATTTGATTAAATTTATTCAAATTTCATTCAATATTGTTTACATTAATTTCAGTGAAATTAGTGTGAAGTGACTCACTATAATTTACAGCAACCAGGGTCAGATTACCGATTTTGATGCCTTGACTTTTGTTGACAGAGAATGGTTACATAAATATACTACTACAGTCAAGTCCCATTAATCCGACATTGTTGGTTGCATATGATTATGTCGGATTAACAAGTATGTCGGATAAACGAAATTAAGTAGTATCAACATTTGTGATCGAAAATCGGACAACTACACGATAGATAACTATACAAACACGTAATAAAAAAAATATAAATGAAATATTCATATTGTTATGTTACATTGTTAACAGAATATGTTTACTAATCATGCAACTTCTAAAAACAACTGTTACGGACTGTATGACTTATTCAAAATACTTTTAAAAGCATAGCATGTGTACTCCCGGGCAAAGTGATCACTGTGTCGGATTAACGAGACTGATCAGTGATTTCAGTAATTCGTTGCAAATTAGCTGTGTCGGAGTCGGAGTGCGAGACTGTCGGATTAACGGGTCTAAATAGCACTGATTTAATCGGTTCCCATCATTAGTGTCCGATAAAGCTGATTGTCAGATTAATGAATGTCGGATTAATGAGACTGTATATGTAAACATAAC